CCTTGTCAGCCGTGCCAAGTTCTTTGCTGAAACGTTCCAGCAATTTTTCAAGGTCTAGCATCCATAACACCTGATGGTACGGTTCAGCACCCTCTTCATTNTAGGTTGTTCTTCAGACCCAGCAGAGATTTCTCAGTCAGCTGCAGAGCTACATGCATATACTCTATATTTTGGTGTTGATAATGCATTCAAGTAGAGAGTGTCCTGCAGGTCTTCACGTGCACTGGTCTAACACGTGTTACTTCATTGCACTCTTGCCCCCACGTCTTAAAATTGGCCAAATACTTTCTCCACCGGACGCGGTCGACAGGATTCGAACCTATGCGGGAGATCCCATCTGATTTCTAGTCAGACCCCTTAACCACTCGGGCACGACCGCGGAAATGAGCCCTGGCATTGTCGTACCTCGTACATAACATGGGGATCGCGACCCACACGGCCCCCACTCTCCAAGTCATGAACTAGTTTGCGCCCAACTACGCAACTAGGCAACGACACATCGACGCAACGACACATCGACGCAACGACACAAGTACCCAACTACGCAGTTATGCAACGACACAAGTGCGCAACTATGCAACTTCCCAACTTCCAACTTCCCAACTACCCAACTACCCATCAACATAACTAACCAACTATGCAAGTAGCCAACTACTACCCAACTAGCCAACAACAGACTATGCAATATGCAGCTACCCAACTGTACAACTACCCAACTCCTTATTTACGCAACTGCGCAACCAACCAACTATGCAAATACACAACTACCCAACTACGCAAGTGTGCAACTACACAATTATGCAATTACACAATTATGCAACTACCCAACTGCCCAACTACCCAACTACCCAACTATATGAGTACACAACTATCCAACTATGTGAGTACGTACACAAAGTGTGTACACAACTTTGAAATACACTTGCAACAACGTTTGTGGTTATCTTGGTATGTGTAGAAGTATCCTTTCATATCACATCGATGTGCGTCACATCCTGGCAGACCTAGCTGGACATATGCGGCCCAGTTGCATCTGGCCGAGCAATATCCAACGAATTGTGGGTGAACAGCCAGTGTAGGTGCCTGCCTTTGCCCTGTTTCTGAGAGCTTGGCTTGTTTCAGTTATTTGTTACAAATCTGTAGCTCCTTGCAGTTGCTTACGAAG